TTCCCCCCCCCCCCTTTAAAAAAAAAAAACAGGTCTACCTTTTGTTAGTTTTTCATATTTCGTTAAAGAGCTTGTGCCTACTTTTGAATGGGAAAGCTTTTATACTATTATCAAAAATTATTATTCTACCTCATTTTTTATGTCATTGTAATGTAGAACGGTGGACTCAATTTAAGGCGATATTATTCTTGGCTCTCAGATTTTAAGGTATTTAATTAAAAGTCTCGCTTGCTTTGGCAGCGAGACTCTAAAAATGGAAGCGTTTCTTTTTTTTTTCGTGTTTGCGCGCCAATAGGAGGTTGTGGTCCCAGGCGTTCCTGGCGGAGACCGTGGAAACTTGCAATAGGTATCAATGCGTGACGAAAGCCATCCAGGGAAGATTAATGCGAAAGATGTAGAGCTTTTCCGGAACGAGTCGGTCCACGAATTCTATCGCTTGAAAGCGTTGAGTACTTGGAACATGTGAATACTTCAGTGAAAACTTCGATGGTGAGGCTATAAACGTTTTGAAAATATAGCTCTTTCTAATTTCCCAAGTTTACTCCTCGTGACATTAATATGGCGACCGAAATGGCCCGAAATGGTGAACAACTGATCAAATTTGTGGCGATACTGAGACCAGATGTTTGCATTATTTCCGGTAGACATATTTGTGCTCCTCGGAGGAGCACAAATATGGGCCACCATATGGAGCCCTATAAATTTCTGTTACACATTTTGAAGAACAACTCAGCAGCGGAAAACCGCACAGACGTGAGACTTGGCCAGGTTGTTAACTTAACGATATTCTATAATATCTGAAATTCTTGGCTTCAGACACTTCACGGTTTTGATTTTAGTTTTCGATGGCGTGACAGTGAAAACCACCAATTAGCCAATTATGTCGATTGCATGCTTGCTTACCATTTTCATGACCCTAAAACTTCGTTGCAAAATATTTTCAAAACGCTCTCATAGAAATTGTTAAAATTTGCCATAATCGAGGCAGCGAAGAGAGGTACAAGCTCCCGTAAGCGAGTACCAAAAAAACACCTGGTACCGTATTGGCGTCATTACGTTGCCATGGTAACTGCGATACCAATAAAACATGGATCATAACATACTTATATTATAATACAGCTATGGTATCTTTTTTCCGATATCTTGGTTTACGTCGACGAAGTAAATGCTCAAACTTGGCAGCTATACTCCCTAAAAATCAAGTCGAGCCACTTAAAAGTGGTTTGACAATTTGATAATTTAAGGCTGGTTCTCACGAGCGACGGAGTCGAGGTCGGAGTCGTAATCAGAAGTGCAGAACTTAACGATCTAGTAAAAACAGCGTTCTAATTCTGATTCAGATTCTTAATGAAGTGAAAATTAGGTTGTCGGAGTCACAAGCAGAAGCGAAAGAACTAAGCCAATCACAAAGCGTGGGAATGAGCATTGTGGTTGGTTTATTCTTCCGCTTCTGCTACCGACTCTAACAATCTGGTTTTTATCATATCGAAAACGACGGAGTCGTAAGCGGAGTGGGAAGAAAGTAGAAACTTTCTGATCCTTTTAAGTCCGTCGCTGTTGGAACTAGTTAGGGTAACTAACAATCTCGGATAAAACGAAAAGCCAACTCAAGCTTTCGCGGCGACCCAAGTTTTTCTAAGATATTCGGACAGATAAACAGCTTTTAAGGCAGCAGTAGTAGTAGTACCGGCGTCAGTTTCGAACCACTTTATTCTGATGGCTACTAAGCCCACCCTTACAAGATTCAGGTGGGTTTAGTAGCCATCAGAGAAAGTGGTGTCGAAACTGACGCCGGTTCTACTACTTCTGGGTTACCAAGGAGCGTCGCAGAGCGGCCACCAGTCGTTAAAGGCCCGTGAGGGGGCCCCACCGCAAGAGAATTGCAGCCCTGGCAAAAATTGCGCTGCCCATAACGGCAACGCCCGGTAACCCTTTCTTGCCCGATTCATTGCCAACAGGGAGAGAAAACGCCCTGTTAGAGATTCGCACAGAATCTGCATACGGCGATGGCAACCCATTCGCTCTCCGCCCTGTTAGATACTAACACTTAACAAATATATATATTTACAGCGATGGCAACTCAATCGTTCCCACCAGAATAAGATCAAATGTTCGACGTTGGAATTCCAGAAGGGTTACCCACGCCCATAGCCCTCGAACCCGAGTGCCGGCCAAGAAGGCCAAGGCCCCAGCCAGGAGGACTAAGGCCTCATCCCATTCCTATATCAATAAAGGCACCAATCTTTCGAAACTTCGACCATTTCTCAGACCACTACCGTCGAGAAACCCTACCCGCCATGCAAGACGTCCCTCTGTCGTATGTGAATGGCTCCAAGACCAACAAAACATTGTTGTCAACGAACAAGGGCGGCAGGTCATTACGTGGCATTATCTTTCAAACCTGAACCAACCACACACCAGTCAAATTATGGACACAATCAGATGGACGGTGGATAATCGCCTTAGAATAAATTATTGGTACTACTGCCAACTTCAAAAAATTGAAAACAACAAAAAGGTTCCCTGTTGAAAGAGGGAATAAAAAGCAAGTGGCTGAGCAGTACCAACGACACTGAAGTATGGATCAGGGAAGAAGCCCGGACACAACGTGGGTGTTTGAACGATTCATTTCATTCCAAATCAAGGTGATTTTGGACGATCAACCGTTGCAGGTTCGAGAGGGGTGTTTGCCAGAATGGCTCCGCTCCAAAAAACGCTGTACGCTCTTAACTCATTTGACGACTTCCTCTATGTGTTCCGCTGTTTGGCGGTCCACCGAGGACCACATAAACAACACAATCTACGTAAAACAAGGGAATTGACCAAAGAATTCTTTGCCATTTATGAAATTCCAAACGAGACGGTAGAAATGGAGCATCTGCCTCTGGTTGCCAGTTATTTCAGGCAAGATATCGCTGTCTTCGGGGTTTTGGATGAGTGTGTTTACTTTGTGGGGACATTTCCGCCCAGAATTTGCGGAAGAGGAGGAGAAACCCGAACCAATGATGACTGGAATTAACGCGGACATGCCTTTTTGATAAAAGATCTCGAGAAGGTTACCAAACTGTTTGAATGTGCGCACTGTAACGCAAGATTCACCAAATCATGCGATCTTTCCCGTCAAGCTGAAAGGTGTACAGATGGACCGGCGAAAATAATTTGCCCCTGGAACAAGGTCTGGGCGCCCAAGTACTTCTACGAAAGAGCCTTCCACCCTAGGGCAAGTATGGAAGAGCAGCCTGCTATTTGTTTGAGGCCGAGTCCAAGCGTTCAGGAATCCATATCCATTATCAACTGTGTGGACACGGAGATGAGAGGCTTATTGCCGGACACCCGGTGGATGGGTATCACCACGAAAGTCGAACAGTCTTTCAGTTCCATAGTGTCATTTTCAAGGCTGTCCACATGCTATCCAGATAGAGAGTAAGTATTTCACCAGGAGAAAGGAAAAAACGTGACAGGGAGGACGTGTACCAAAGAACGTTGCGAAGAAATGAAGCGATTTTCCAAGCGGAGTACAACCTAGTTGTGAGGTGGGAGTATGAAAAGCCCACTCCAGTTCGCTGTCGACTACCCCGAAAGCAAAATGTGACGTTTCCTTTGGCCATTGTGTTCGACTTCGAGTCGTGCCAAGACCCCAGAACAAGGGAGGCACCCATAGGTGATTTGGTTTTCGAGAGCGAGCACGTTCCATCTCGGTATCTCCTGCCGAAACTTTCAACGGAGAGCCGGAGTATATTTGCGCCAAAGACCCACACGAGCTGTTGCGGTTGTTCTGGGAAACGGTAGAAAAAAGAGCAAAAGTT